TTCCCCCTGGAGGAAGATTTGGTGGTTCCCGACTCATTGAAGGAAGCACAACTCTCGTTAAGATTGAACATTTCCACTATACGCGATTTCATCCATCAGGTCGAAAGTAGGTATAACCGTTATTGCTTTTGTATGTGAAATACCCATGAAATTCTAATAGGGAAATGTTCCTTTTTCTACAGGACTGAAAATCCTGCGTGATCAAAAGTTAGGCCTATCCGCCGAAGTTCAATCGAAGATGTCTCGAAAGTCGGAGCACGGGTTAGCGGATTCGGAATTTAGGAGGTATAACGAACTTGAGAAGAAATTCGGACTGGATTGGGAGAAAGCCGACGTGATAATTGATCTCTCTGACGTAGCACAGGATAAGCAACCCACTGTTGATGGTGACAAAAGCATGAACGTCGACATCGAACGCGCATCCTCCGAGCGACACATGCAAGTATTGAAGATCATGATGGAGGAGACGGACCTGATCTCGATGGACTACGACGATGAAGATAATTGTGAATTTCACCGTAGGTTCCATTACAAAAAGCACAAGAATTACAGCGATCACGGTCGTAACACGAAAAAACAAAAATTAACGAATGCAGATAGCACGAACATCAGTAGTATCCTTATAAAAAAGAAGAAGAAGAAGAAGGAGAATTTCAGAATCGATGTTGAGATGATGCCACATCTAGTCGAACACTTGAAAAGGTTGCAAAATAGGCTGTCTGGACACGTAAATGATCTTGAGAATTTGACCACACTAATTACTTTATCTGGCGGATGAGAAGGCTTCGTTTTTTTCTTTACGAAATAAAAATGTAAAAATTTAATACTACCTAATTTAGATTTGGGCAGAATAAACAAAAAGGACGTTTGTATAAACTATTCCCCTTTACATATTCCTTAATAATGTCATATACGTGTATATATATATATATATATATATATGTGGCTTCGTCTTTTCTTCGTGAAGTGATCGATGGGATGTAATATCGATGGATTCTTTCTTTTTTTTCTTGTAAATTTTCTACTCTCTTTTCTGTTTGTATATTCTTTTTTTCTTTTCTTTTTTCTTTTTGTGGGTTCTTCCGGGATATAGTTTTAGTGGAAATAATGGTACTTCCCTTAAAATTCCCATGGTACAATTATCAAAATACCAAACGGACGATATTCGTAGAAAAAAATACCTTTGAACATTTTTTTGTAATACGTTTGTATATATTTATATAGTATACATATATGTTTCTCTATTCTTTTTTTTTTTTTTTTACGCGTTACCATAATTTCAACGCGTTTCTTCTCAACCATTATCACCGTATGCCCCAGTGCTCACATTCCTCTTTATTCTTCAAAAACCAACCCCAAATCGTCTGCTCAACCAATTACTTTTTCCATTCATCCCAAAGATCACATATCCGGATTTTTTTGTATCATTATTTGATTATTCATTTTCTTTGTATTATTTGTAATTCCTTTCATTCACTATCTACTCCAAGTCTTCGGTAATACACATACATATCTCTTGTAATCGTCATAATGACTGTCCATGAATGACGTCGTCCCACGGCTTTATAAGGGAGTTTGTTCTGTGATTGTACAAACAAAAAGTCAAATAGTTGTTTTGGTGATCCTCTCGATGGACTTGGTCTTTCTTTCTTTCTTGGATCTAAATGTTCTTTCTACATCACTCATTCTTCAACCTGTATTTATTTATTCTTTTTTTCCAGTTTTCATTTTATTTTTTTGCGACCTGTCCAAATTAGGCATCTGTATTTTTATTTCTCCTTTGTACAATCGAAATTTTAATAAACCAAAGATGTTATATAAAGTATGAATGAACGATGCGAAGTTAACGTCACTTGAAACGCGAACGTGTCAACTGTTACCGGCACATGAGATAGGCGGTCCCGACACGATTGATGATTTAACAACAGTCGGTTGGTCATCAGATTTGTGGGATGATCCGTAAGGGCGGAAGTTGACCAAATTCATGTAAGGAAAGAAAGATAGACAGACATGAATATCTTGAAAGAAGTGATTGACAACTGATCTCTCACGCGGAATAACGCGCATTGCTTACATCATTCGCAGCTTTTTTATTTTGGATATTTTTATTATATTAATTAAATCACCATTGACGACATTCATTTGAACGCACAAGAAAAACATTCAATTTAAGGATTTTCAAAATCCTTGTTCAAGAACAATTCTTTCTAGGGCACAAAAAAGATCATGTGAAATGAATGAACAGCTTTAAAGTTAGCATAACGACCTTTTTTTAATTCAACAATCCCTAAAAGGTCATCTCATAGAGTAGGAAGAAAGACTTCAAGCCACCAACAAAGGTATCACACCGGAAAGAACCACGTACTGTATATAATACAGCACATAATACAGTACATACAGTATGTACATGTCATTATTTTGTCGTGTGACACCTATCGCATGGTAGAAAGTGTCTCCCAAAGAGCATACTGTACGTGCCCAAAATGAACGGTACGATTTTTTTTTTCAAAATATCTCATTCTTTCGATGTGGTTTAAAAAAACCAAAAAAAAAACCGGCTTTAATCAATCAATCTTTTTTTTCTTTTTGTACCTCGGATTGCATTCCTATCCTGTAAAACATGTTATCGATAGAAACCAGGATTCGTGAATCGTGTGATGCAAGTTGGTTGAACAATCATTATAATCTAATCTGGTTTATGGTGGATGTTATTTTAATAATTCCCTTTCGTATCAATCCATTTTTTCTTACCTTTTTTGTAATAATTAAAAACACATCAATACCTGTAGCTCTCCTTTTATTGTCATTAAGAAAATGCACGGATATCAGCTGGTAAATTACGAAGAATGGAAATTAACATAAGGGAAAAATGCTATTTTTCAAACGGACCTGGAATACATGCGGGGAATAAAGAAAAAAGGGTTATCAAGAAATTTCGTTAATGCATACATGTATGAGTTGTGAATGCAATCAGGTAATTAAGTTTTCCTTGCAGGTTTCATTTCTCGAATCGAATAAATAATTATGGTTAAAGATCATGTGACATCATGCGTGCCTGAAATTACGTAACCATTCTAATTTCCTTCTCGAGAAAAGATCTTTTGCATAACGTTGGAATATTTTGGGGAAATATGTGATAGATAGCATTCAAACGACTTTTGCCGTGGTGACGTCAATTTCGTTTTCATAGTCTACATACACACTTGTGTTGTTCTATAATTATGCTTCACGTAATACTGTTAAAATCCAAGTCTGTTTATATTGTGATACTGTTTGTCTGCTATCGAATTGGGAATAAACGGATAAAAATAATTTTGAAATAATAATTATAACAAATTTAGGTTAAAGTGGGCGGTATAGGTGATACCTATTGTTAAATTAACTGATTTTATTAACTGGCGTCACTTATACTATATCTTATCTTAATCCCAATTTCAAATAGACCGTTCGATTTTTTTTAACAGATAACACACAGTATATACTCTTTTATTAAAAATAAATCATTTGTTGTATTAAAAAAACGAATGACAACCATTATTATTTGATCCAAGAGATTCAAAATGGTAAATAGATTGCCAATTAAATATTGGTCTTGTTGTTAAATCCCATAAAATAAAATGAATGAATGTCGCAATGACGTTAAAATTACTATCCCTAAGATTTTACACTTCACATGAATCAATGAGTTTGATTGAGGTTTAATGCAAAAAAAAAAGTTTTTTTTTTTCATTATTTGATAAATTATCTTTGTAATAAAAATTGATAATTGTCAAAACAAGTTAAATGTAAGATATACAATAGTGATCATGAGAAACAACAATTCTTTAATAAAAAATTTTCATAAGAAATGAATATCAAATAATAACAAAAATTTTTTTTAAAAAAAATAATAAATTTTATTAAATTCAGTTTGTTTTGAAGGTATTAAAGAATATATATTTATAAAATTTTATGTAATTTAAATAATCGATTATATGAATTCTAATCAAATATATTATTGACACCTTAACTTTTTTTTAAATTTTTTGAATCCGGTACAAAAAACATTGTAAATAGTTGGAACTTTGTTATTTGTACACACATTTTTAAAAAATAAATTTATCATAAAGTAATAATCATAATGTTATTTTAAAATATCAAAAAAAGTATTTAATTATATATATATATATATTATATAATATAAGGATAGTTTTAAATATTTAAAATATTAATTAAAAAAATATAAATATATAACCTAATTACTTTAGCTCTTTTTTAAAATTTAAATTAAATAAAAAAAAAATTAAAAATTTTCAACATTATAAAAAAAAGATCAAGTTAATTATAAATATAATTAATGTTTGTTTATTATCAGTGGTATTATTGTAAACGTAATTAAAAGATTTTATTTTACGGTATATTTGCAAATAAATTTAAAGTCATTACCTTATGATTTTTTTAATACAAGATTAAAAAAACTTCAAAAAATTATTTTATTTTTATTTATAATCTATAGAGCCGTAAAGATTTTTTCTTTAAAATTTTTCATTAGAATATTTAATAAAATTTCAAATTTACAGAATTGCGAATGTCAGTTTATTATGATTAACATAGACCTAACGTGACGATCAGTGAATAAAGTCACATGTCCTAGAAATCTGTTATATACGCGACTTTAGCTAAAAAAAAATAAATTTTAACGCGTCTCTTCGTATTTATTTTTTTTATTCATTATGTCTATTTCTATAGCTGCCAATCACTCCTCTTTGGTCGAACCGAGACTCATTATTTTTTGCGTGAACTTGACTTAGGCCTTGATGAGGATGACTTTAAAATTCTTCGCAAAGAAAAAATAGATAGTATGAAACGGGGACCTGCTATGAAGCTTGAAAAACAAGCTAAAATATTTAAGGAGCAAACGAGGACTCTCAAAAAAGGCAAAATCGAATACTCCTGGCTCTTTCCATGTAGTATATGACCTATTCAGCATTTCTATATTGACCCACTAATATGTTTGTCCCTATCAAAGGAATGAGGCACATACGGTTTTTTATAACACTACATATTTTATTTATAGCCCAAACACGCACTTTACAGGTATGATATGTTAAATATATAAGCCCTCGGTTATTGCAGTACTTTAGCACAATCATCCTGTTAGATGTGAGATTATTTTTGATAAAGTTCTATTGATTCTAAATGAGGGATCAGCTATGTACTTAAATAATTTTCTGTGCTCTAAGCTAGAATTTTACTAAAAAATATTTTTTATTTCATTATCCTCAATGATGATACTTATTCCGAAGGTTGGTTATAATTTATATACAGGTTTATAAAAAAAGTTGCAAACCTTTAATTAATATTTAGAATCGACCAGAGATGATTCTATAGATATTCCATTGTGGAATTATGAATCTACAAATATTTTGGAAAATTTAAAGATTGTAGCTCATAACTTCGACTAGGTATAATAGGGTTAGGTTCCTCAGCTCATACAAAGGTTCAAACTACTTGTATGTAAATTCTGAGTATAATATTAAAGTTCCTAGGGAAAGTACATATTATGTTGAAATGTATTGGATCCGTGAATTGGTTAAGAAAAACCCATGGATATGAAATTACCGGCCAGTGGCATCTCGAACAAGTTTGTGATGACGGAGATTACCGTCATCTTTATTGCGACCTAATTATAAAGAAACCTGATAGTTCGCGTCTGGAAGCTCTTGAACTCTTGGTGACAGCATCAATTTCAAAACTAAATGGGCATTTCGAGCAAGTATTTAGTATACAGAGCAACTTCACCCCCAAGAAATTTGGATCGAACACTTGTCTCGTGAAGATTTTGTTATAACCAATCTATACTGGCCATGTGAAAAGCTTCATGAAAAGGGATTAAATGCCATTCACTTCTGGCATGATAAAGAATTTAAAAATGCGAGGATGAGTGCCAGACTTTGGGATATCATTGGCAAGTTCTGTGAAATTATAGATGAGTCAATTCTTTCGGTTGTACCGTATAGTATCAGTTACACGATTATCCCATTTAAAAACAAAAAATAATGTTTGCTTACATTTTTGAAACAATGAATGCTTTCATTTACTTTTTGCTATACTATTCTTCAGTTTGCAAATTCTTGAAATGAAAAATAATTTAGCAACTGCGCCCAAACGAGAACTTTCCGTAGTATGTAGGTCAGTTTTATCAATATTCTCATTTTATTACATTCCGTCATTAATCATCAAGATATATTATTTATCCGACGAACCGTAAAGACGGGTTTTAGGCACTGTTTCTTTAACGTTAACTTTCCGATCAGACATCATGTTTTTTTATGTCTGAAATAAAGTGGATTCTAAAGAATCTAATTTGAATTTTTAAAATTTTATTGAATGTAGGGTCTAGCTGATTCCAAATTCTCGATTAATTGAATCCAATCTTTATTTTGCAAAAAATAAATCAAAAAGTTAAAGGGCATGACCATTTTAAATATTCTAACTCCATTTTTCTTAATGGCTTATGCTTTTTGATATCCTTGATTGCTCTGTGAAGCTCCACAGGTTTCTGTCCCTCTTCCAAGAACCTTTTCTACCTTAATTGCATATCCTCATCATTGTACGCAACAGTCATAGGGTTCTGGTAACTTAAACGTTAGATTGGTGGTAATTCCAAATACCTTGTTCACACTTTGTTCATAATCTATTTCATTGGCTTTTATGTTTACGACATGTTAAGGATAATTTCATCTTGTACGAAAGCCTGAAGTTATCTTTTAAACCTCAACTAAACTAACAATCCTATTGTCAATCGACATCCTACCGTGTAATCAAGGTTTGTGGTCAATTATAAATTTTTCCGAAATTATTTTCATAAAATGATATTCCACTAGTCGATAATAGTAAGAATGGAGATTTCATTACCTCATATGTCACGTTAAGAGGTGTCATTTTTTGACAATGCTTCAATTCGGCCATTAGGTGTCTAACTACATCTTGAGATTTTTCATTTTTTAGATCCGGACCGTTGCTAAATCCATAAATTTTATAAACTTTTGGAACGTTTATTTACTGAATGGCTTTGAGGAAGTTTGCAACAAAGTTTATTTTTAAGACTAGCAATTGCAACACGTTCCGGAATGAAGCGTCATTTCTTGATAAATATCTATTTTCATCATTTGTAATATTGAATGTTATTTCACTATTTTCTAGCACATCAGGAAAATTTTGAACAGAGATCTCCGGAGTCTTCCATTGTTATTAAAGAACTATGAAGGACTGGAAAATTACTTAATAACTGAAAGTTTTAAAAAATAAATTTTCTTTTAAGGAATTTTATTTTCAAAGGCTTTCGAAGTTATTAAGTAATTTTTCAATCCTTCATAGTTCTTTAATAACAATGGAAGACTCCGGAGATCTCTGTTCAAAATTTTCCTGATGTACTAGTGTCCTATATATAGTGAAAATAAATTTCTTGAGATTATTGAAAGTTGTATGTTCAATATTAATGGTTACTTGAACAATTTCATTCATTTTATACTGATAATGACACCAAACTCTACCTGTTTGGTGAAAACAAATTGATAATCTTGCAAAATCCCAATACTTTCATTATTTTGTATATACTATAAATTGATTTATTTAATAATACCTGCAATAAGATAATTTTTTTAAAAAAACTAATATGTTTTAAGTTGCATTATTTGTAAAAGCCAATAAAAAAATATTATATAAATATGTTTTTTTGACAGATAAGTTAAATAATTATATCAAAATTTTGTTTATAATAAAAAGGTTATTATTATTTAAAAAAAATATTATTATACAGTATTGATTTTAAAATTATTAAAAATTTTATTTTGATTTTTTTTAATCTTTAATCAGATTGTAAGTCTTAATCTAATTTTTATATAACAATATTATAATATACAATATGATATTATACTAAAGTTAAACTAGTTCTACTTTGCAAAACATTTATTAATAAGTT